CCGCCTGCTGGTCGCGATCGATATGTCGGGATAATCGTGGGAAATCGGTTCGCCGTTGAGAGCCCATTCGATTTGAATGGGAGAATCACCCTTCAACATCGTGCAGGTTGCGGTCACCGTGTCTCCCCAGTTCGCCGGTTTCTCACTGATCACGAATGGAGCTATCTCGGGGGCAACTATGACGAACAAACAATCCTTAATTGTCTAAATTATCCCTCCTTTCGTGGACAACGAATACTACCCACACACCGCGGATCGATCATCGTTCGTCGTGAACGACCTATCGAACGGAGGAGATTCCAAGCCTCGACCACCGACGCCAACCGGAGACAATGAGGAAACGGTGTCGAAAGATAAGGAGCGAAAAGAGGGAAGTGTCGGAGAAAACGTGTCTGCTGAGGAAAATACCGTTGACGGCTAGGGTAGCCGAGTGACTGGTCGCTCCAGCCTTGTTGGACGCCGAACACGTGTACTCTCCCGCGTGTCTAGCGGCTACAGACTCGATGCTGAGGATGCTGTTCTTTCGCGTGGTCGCCAGAATGTTAATGTCCGAACGATCGCGGCCGATCGGCTCGCCGTTCAACGCCCACGCGATCTCGATCGGCAAATCGCCCTTGAGAATGGCGCACACCACGGAAATCGAGTCGCCCCAGTTCGCCGGCTCTTCGGTGATTACGAACGGAGCTATCTGCGGCGCGACTGTAATCAATCGTTGGCTTTGCCCAGTTTCTGTCGTTCGCGCGACAACGAACGTCGCGACCCTTTCGATTCGAGGCGAGATTGCGGAGGCGGTACGAGGGATGAGCGAGGAGTTTGAGACGGGGATGAATTCGGGGATAACCGACGAAATTTTCGGATGCGTCTACTGCTGTAGATACCGTTGACTGTCAATTCCGCCGAATAGCTGGTCGCGCCGGCCGCGTTCGAGGCTACGCAGGTGTAAGTGCCCGCGTGGCTAGGACTGGCCGAATCGATGGAGAGCAGGCTGTTCCTTTTCGTGGTGGTCACGGATATCCGGTGACTCTCGTCGATGGGCATTCCGTTCAACGCCCAGCTGATCTCGAGCGGGGAGTCCCCGTTGACCACGGTGCAGACAGCCGATACGGAGTCGCCCCAGTTCACGGCTTTGTCGGCCATTTCGAACGGGGCAATGCGCGGCGATACTGTCGACGTGACAACAGTGCCGTCGATATCGTTAAAGGAACACAACGGTCGACCGTGATACTTGGAGCGTAAAAAAAAGACTACGTAGCACCTGGATAAAATTTCACGAAAGAAGAGCTGTCCGAGAAAAGGTGTCGTTCGACTTTACCTCCACCCCCGAGTGACCCCCGACGCGTTCCACGCGGTTGACCGACCACCACCAGCCGATCAGTTCACCCGATCGTTCTTTTTTACACGTAAAAGCGTACCGTTCACTGACAAAACCGACGTGTGCGTAGCGGATCCGGCTGCGTTGGTCGCGGTGCACGAGTACTCGCCCGCGTGTCTTGCGGCTACCGAGTCTATCGTCAGGGTGCTGATCCGTTTACTACTTCTGCTCACGACGATGTCAGGAATGTCGTAACCGTGGTTACCGGACACGCGTCCGACATCGATAGTCCTACCGTTCAGCGACCACACGATCTTCACCGGAAGATCGCCTTTGATCACGGCGCACTGAACGGTAGCCATTTCTCCCGCGTTGGCCGCCTCGTCACCGAACGTGAAAGGCGCCAATTGAGGCGCGACTGGAAATTCGAAAAGTGTCTCTTGAATCGCGCGTAGGAGCTCCCAGAGAGGGCACCGGTTCACGGCGTTTTTTTTTTTTTTTT